CTAGTGTTTGAAAATACAATACCATATATTAATAGCAATGAAAGTACTGACCAGCAACTTTAGAGAAACAACACGTTGATACGAAATATGTCAATCGCACATGGTATAATGCCGTATTCTTTGCCAACGTTTCAACGTGATTTCCTAGCGCCATTATCGAGCTAATGAGAGGCCGCTTGACCTCATTCACCGTAAAATCGCAGCGTACAACAACGTGAGAACGTCGAGGCTTTCGCCAGCCGTTGTTGTAACATGTCTTTTGCCAACAAGTGTAAAAAAACCGTATCACTTAAACCCTGGCAGGTATACAAATTATGGACCTAATTCTAAGCTACGACGGTGTGTATACAATGATTTTTAAACACTGAGATTAATGATTCTTGTTTCTTATTCCTATTTTCTTTAAAAAAACATTGCCCTTACTGTAGGATAACATATCCTGTGTTTTAAGGATTTTTGAAATACATAAATTTAACGTTGTCAAACACTCAGATTCGAAAAAATTGTCTGTGGGTAACACAAATACTTCTCCCGTTTGGGAATCAAACCCACGACCCTCGAGGCCGAAGCCAATACCTTGGCAACTGTACCACGGGATCATCTAGATTCGCAATGTTTCATAGCGATTCCCACGTTTCAAAATTACAAGTTCGTTAATATATATAATACGCAGCGTCACACAATGTGAATTTCTATAGTAGGCATATGAATGCATTTATATTTTTGGTTGACATGGCGACCGTATCTGATGTAAAATCAACACAACTCTATCGATACATTGAGCAGCGGACAAAAAAAAAACATTTTGAAAACTAAGCGTGCTATTTAAGTGGGCCGCATTATTCAACCCCATCCAGGGCCTGTCATTTCGGGCATCGAACGATATCCAGCGGATCACACAGTATAAATAAGTAGGTCAGACAGACGCAAGTGAGACGTTTGTGAGATCTGTTCATGAGGTATGTATACTGTCTGCGCCTAACGTTTTTGTTAAGCAATTTATTGCACAGACTCACCGACGCATTAATACGTTAAAAAAATCACATTTGAACGTCTGTTAAATAATCCCTCCCTGCCACACATCATTCAACTTTGTAGCGGTCGAGGACGCGCTCTCACCTATTTTAATATTAATTTTTTCATTGTGAAGTAATTTGCAAATAAATACAAGATTATCCAGACACTTTGTGTTGGCATTAATGTCTAATACGAGACATATACAACTAATTAAGTAGGAGTGGCATCGGAGAATCCGATAAACGATTCCACGGAACTTCTTTGTAAGTTATTAGTCTGATAATATTTTATACTATACATGTAAAAGACTCACGCCTTATTTCCACGAAGTTAGACAAAGGCCACCTCTTTCGCCTAACACGTTCTCCTTATTTCTTATTGTTCTCACTTAGCAGTTTACTTGATGTTATGCGTTTACTGGCTGGGATGAATATAACAATAGATGTGTTGCAGACGCCTTACCATCTATTTAAAACAGTGGGCATATTATAATATTAAAAGATATATCCCTTTTTTTTATAACCGCAGCTGTATGCCACGCGGATAGTGCAAGCATTAGGGTCGGCATTAGGGACGAATAATATAGTTAGTGGTTTTAGCTAGGTATTTTACGACTGGCCGTCAGTCTGACGTCACCCCTTCTTGGTAACGAGCTCCCAGATCCGCTTCAAACCGCATGAACTTCTAAACATTTATCTGTGGGTCACACAAATACTTGTCAAGTATGGGAATCGAACCCACGACCCCCAATAAAGCTTAGCAACTGCACCACCTATAAACACTAGATATGCGAATATTAATAGTGAGTATATTAATTGAAGGATGTCAGAATAAGTATAATATAGGGCACAGATATCGTTAGTAAGCGCGGCCGTCTAATTAACTGGGTCGGCGCGTTGTGACGCTGGGATAAATTTACCGATATCCGGCCATTAAGCTGACACATTGACTCTAAATTACTGTGATGCATGCAACGTTGCCTGGCTTATGAAATTATATCTGACTGGATGCGATATTAGCATCGTACAGATTTATGTGTATAAAATACGAGCATCAGACGCCTAACGTCTGATATCTACTCGTATATAGGGTGAATTTTTCTAGTGGGCGTGGTCTGCCAGATCTGAATCGATGAGGAATAACAAATGAGCGGTAAATACTCAAAGTCTTAGGCCCGATTACGAAATTTATTTAAAATTACATCATAAGAAAAACTAAGAAATCTAATCCGTTTATACTGTTCAGTAGTGTCTTTTTTAACCAACTTCAAAAAGTAGAAGGTTTCTCAATTCGACCGTATATTATTTTTTATTATAAGTATACTATTTTTATTTTTTTATGTATGTTCGTGGATAACTTCGTCGTTTATGAACCGATTTTGATGATTTTTTCCTCCCGGAAAGGAGATATCCCAAGGGTGGTAACATGATAAGGAAATCCGGATCTGATGTTGGCATCCCAGAGAAATCGAGGGCCATCATTGAATGTTAAAGGTATAAACAATATTTTTAATTTTCTGATTGAAGTCGGTTTTTCTTTTGTTAAAAATTATTATGTAAGAAGGGGGCAAACTAGATGGCGGTTCAACTGATGTTCAGTGATTAGCGCTAGAACACAAAACAAAAATACAACTGAATTGAGAACCTCGTTTTTTTAAGTCGGTTGAAAATAGATACATTGTTGTGTTAATTACTTAGGAAAAATATTAATTCTGCAAATAAGAAAAGACATCGTTAAAACATTTAAATTTATATGATTTATGGTGTTTTATAATAGAGTAATAGTTATATCTATATGAGAAATAATAATTTAAAGGGGTATTTATACTTGAAACGGGATGGAATATTTCAAAATCGAGGCCGGCCGTAACTGGGGCGTAGCGGTGGCGCTGTCGCGTGTCCACCGCTCGTTTTTCACGTCCGCCCGAGATGTAATCGGCGACACAAACGGCGTTGTATACGCCGGCCTGAAAAACCAATGTAGCCGGTCGCTACGCACGCCCTATGTGAGGTTTTGGTGTTTTTTTTTTTTCAACGATATCGCTCGCCCGACTTTAATTAATAGATTGCGGTGATTTATGTGGACTTCTAGTTTCGGCCGCGTTTTCCGCTTTTTTCCGTTATTTTTTCGTTTCGATATTTGTGCGTTTGAAGGTTCATTCGAGTATGGGAGTTCTTTGCGACCCACCGCGTTCGTGTCTCGTGAAACGTTCCGCGAATACGGATTTATTTCGTAGTGCGGGATAAGGTTCTGTTTTTATAATAAATAAAGAAATAAAAATTTCGACATCCGAAATGTCGAATGTCTGATTGTTTATATATTTATAACATCCATTTATTTACAAAAGAAAAGTATGTTTAATTATATCCATAACCCACAGTACAAGCTTTGTTACTAAGATTGGCAACAAATATGTCCTGAAATTATTAATTATTATTTATTTATACATACATGTATATCGGCTCGCCCTAACTTGATGTTAAAAGCAGCGGACGACCACATATAATTAAGGTTAAGTCCTAATAATACAATTGTTTTAAATCATAAGTGAATTAATTATCAATTCCTTTTGTTAGGACTAATAACAATTAAGTTTGATAAAAAAGTTGATCTATTGACTCAACTCTACTTTAGGTAATATAAATACCGTGAGGGGGCCGAGCTAAGGAGTCGTTCAACTGTACGGCTGTATTTAGTTAGAAAGAAAGAAAGAAAATACATTTATTTACCAAAAACGAAGGTAACGGCTGTTACTCCGTGTTGGGTATAAACTCGTGTAAAGTATTATTTGGTGTTTTAATCAGTGCATCTACAAGTTACCATCAGGCTAGTGTGCAAAGTGACGTCTCTGCTGACGTCACGCTTTTTAAAAAGCATGATGAAGGTCGTACTTCGTTGCGTCCCTATAAAGGTTCATCACTAATTGCTATTAATGACGTAAAACGACAAAATCATCGAGCGGCCCCGGGCAAAGTTTTCAGTATGTCCCTTGCCCGTTTGCGTTGTGCGTAACTCAAACCACACAACATTGGGCGGTGGGCACACCGGGGCGATCCTTTCGGATCTATTCCGTTACACCTCGCCGATAACCAAGGCGCCGCGGAAGGGTGGCGTTCCCGTTTGCGCAACACTCACTTATCTTTGTTCCCGAGGCAAGCGCGGAAGCAATTGATGCGCTTACCGCACAGACCGACAGCGTGAAGAGTGTTTGTATTGTATTGTTCGTAACGTGTACACCTTATAAAATAAGAGTGATAAAATAATTTATACACTTCAATATATATTAACACAACGATATGACAAACGGATTCAGATGATTTATAATTATTTCGTTTAATAGAATCCTTTAGAAATATCCATGTCCATAGAAAACTTTAGTCACGAAAAAAATAATAATAAACGCTTTTTATTAAGTGATACGCGATTTATTCATTAAGACTGAGACAAAGAGAATTAAAAATGAATGACTAATTCAGTACTGCCAAAGGAATATAATATAACACTTTGGTAAATTTCATTTGACCGATTTAAATACGATTTGAATAAAGCTACATTTGAAACATAACACGGCGTACACGTTGACGACGCGATTTTTTTCCAGTCTGTTTTAGGGTTCCGTAGCCGAAGGGTAAAACGGGACCCTTATTACAAAGACTCCGCTGTCTGTCTGACCTTCTGTCACCAGGCTGTATCTCATGAACCATGATAGTTATAAGTCGGAGACCTTTGAAATTTCCACAGGTGATGTATTTCTAATGCCGCTATAACAACAAATACTAAAAAACCAAATAAAAAAAAATATTTAAGTGGGGCCCCCATCAACAGACATGATTTTTTGCCGTTTTCGTAAATAATGGTACGGAACTCTTCGTGCGCGATTCAGACTTGGCCGGTTTTTGCTAAACCAAATAGCCCATAGCGTGTGGCATTACAGCTGGGTAGTCATCAACGGCAAGTGCTCTGCGAGTTTCGCGTTAGCGTTATTTATAACGGCATTTCGGTAGCCTCTGCCGCGGCCTGCTCTGCGCACCGTGCGTCACGCAACGGCCAATTCTCGGTAGGCTGCGCACGGGCGCGCCCACGGGGCCCGAGGGGAGGGAGCGCCGCCTCGCTCCGAGGGCTGAATGCATAATTGGACCCAGCGCCGGGATTTCCACGGCGGAACGCGGAGGCACCTCGCGCCTGCCACTCATTTGCGGGCTCTCGCGTGAAATCGGTCAATGGACTTTTCGCTTTGACGGGTGTCTCGCTCAATTATCTTCCGGTGGAATCTATCGTCGACACCGTATCAAAGCCGACGTGCGACAACCCAACGGTGAGGAAATCGAGTGTCCTTCATGTTTCTTTGAGATTTGTGAATTTACAATCACGACTGTTCAATACTGAAGATTTACGTATTACGAAAATTGTGATTATATAAAGTAAAGAACCTTCGGAACGAGCGAACTGATAAAAAATAATTGTTAGTTACGTAAACAGAAACCGTTTTGCGTTGTTTGTTTGAATATTGTGAAGAATTTCTTACTTCCGACATATGTATAACATCGGCTTCTTTTGATGTTACCATTAGACCTACTTCGAAAAAGGTGGGTATTCTACGTAATACCAATCGTTCGCATTAACCAACGGTCGATGATACCTAAGCATCAATAGCGCATACAGGTCATCCTCAAAGCATGCCCTGTTGCTTTTATTATGCACGGAAATGTTTTCTTTATCATTAAATTATTAGGTAAGATCATTACTTTAGCCTTAAGACCGACAACACTGTACAACACTCCGTAAAAGATTTAAGTTTTTTATTTCTTTATTCGGCTTTACAAGCTCTGATGATCGTCAATGGCAAAAGTTGCGGCGAAAACTCTCATCCCTGTGGAACACCCGTAATTCAGCATCGGCAAAGCTGTTCAAACTACTCCCAAACATTGTCATGTTTATTTGTGAGGTAGAGACGAGTGCTTTTAGTGGTTTTCAAAAAGGTCGAGCCCGGGCGGCGTAAATAACAATTCAATGCCGTTGTGGAGGGGAATCGACCGAACACAGCAGAGAGGGAAAGTTTCGACGCAATGATAAAAACCATATCGGCTACGTTATTTCCATTCCATATCACATTTTCGTACCACGAAATATAGTCTGCAATACTAAATAACCGGATCCAAAAACCAAATAAATAGATTTTATGTCCTTATTGAATAAATCTAAACCAACATTAAGGTTAGGTAAATTATAGAAACAAAGAAAGAAAATAAATTTATTTACCAAAAAAGGACGCACACAACAAAAATTTAACAAAAAATAAAAGAAATAAAAAAAATTTAATAATACGCACAAGAGTAAAGTAAACAAAACAAAATCTGTACAATTTATAACAGCTTTCTTAGAGTGTGACCCCTTTAGTGTACTGATCGATTTTTTATCACAAAAATTATGGACGGTTTTTCATCATCACGGCACATGGAGATGATCGATTGTAAGTGGTATAGGTTAAAAATTATGCCTTTCCTAATATAAGTAAGCGAACAATGTCGCGCGAAAAGGTTAAAATTAAGTAGTGCAATTGCTTATATTAAATTAATACAGTCTATTTTCTGACGGACAGAAAAGTTCTGGAGTGTGAGATGATGCTGCCAAAAACGGTAAAAGCTCAGTAAAATCAAATTTACTCTTGGAGATCGTATTGTGATTGGAAAGTAAAACTGACGCCGACAAAGAATTCCATTCCTTAGCACGTTAACAACGTATTGAGGGATTTCAAAGTTTCATTAAGTTCTTGGAATTAATAACAAAATAATATTTTTCTATATGGGGAGAAAACAAATGATATAAAAATACTTCAAATTTTCTTCTTTGGATAAATTAAATTTGGTAGTACTGAAATTAGAGTACAAGCTTAAACTGAATAAAAAATGCCTTTCACTTAGAAAACACAATTTGATTGTATACCTTAATCTTCTTCAATATTCTATCTATCTTCAATATAGTGCATCTTCACAATGAAATAGCCATACAAGTCAGTAAACATCCCTTTTCCGCCTCACAGCACTGTTTCAATATTAACATACGGGTCTAGACAGCTCCTCGCAATAATAGTGAATAGGAAATTAAAGCCACGACCCGACTTTACTCAAATGTATTTTAAGGAAGCAGTTTAGTTTATGGCAAATGAGATCAAAGTTAAGTAATCACTACCCGAAAGCGCTTCGCAGAGTTTAACCTCAGAAAATTAAATTAAAATTTCGATCGCGAATCCCGAAGACGAAGTGGGTTCGATTCCCACATGCAACGGCGAGAATATTCGTTCCTTTTTTTTACAAAATTAATGATTGATGATACCACATTCGGCAAGCGAGGTTGATAGACGTGTAAGATCGAGTAGACTCCTCAGTGTCTGCGGCTTGTTTATATTTCATATATGAAATTACAATAGAGTGACCAAGCAAACCTTATCATTCATCTTCGTTTGAGCTTGTTAAATATCTACCACCTGATTTTTATTGGCATACTTAGTAGTAAGTAATACCTTGGGAAAGTATTACTTGTAGTATTAGTTGTAACTGTGATTTCTTGGGACAATATCAAATTTGAATCTTAACCAAGCATTTGACCGTAATAAGCACCCGCATTCGACCTCAACTGCTTCGAGTGTGACGAATAAAAGGACGAGCGCCTGAACACTGAACCACCACGGTCAAAAAGTGGCCACAATAACTGTTTTAATAAAAACAAAACGTCCGCATCGAAAACCTTGGACCACTGAAGCACGTTTGGGTTTCCGCCAAGTGGGCCGAACGAGACGTGCATTTTGGAGCGTCCTACGAACTCGGTTTAGTGTACTTTTTAAAACTTGTCAAACTAAGACATAAGCATTCGAAATTCTGCTCGATAATTGTCGAAGCCATAAAAAAAATTAAACCCAAAACAAAATTTAACGTTTAAAGTTACACTGTTAACGGCAATAACACATACTACCTATATTTTAAACTCCTTCGATGGCACAAACAGAGACATTTGCGAGTGTCTTTCATCAAGATAATTGCACCCAGAAATATGAAAGTTTTTTTTATTATTTGTTGTTATAGCGGCAACAGAAATACATCTTCTGTGAAAATTTTAACTGTCTAGCTATCAGGTTTCATGAGATACAGTCTGGTGACAGACAAACAGACAGCGGACTCTTAATAATAGGGTCCCGATTTACTCTTTGGCTACGGAACCCTAAAAAGCAGACAAAAACACAGTAAAGAGTCGCGCGTGACACCACATTACTGTAATCACTAAAATGTTATTCCACGAATGGGTTCGTTCCAAAACATTGTCGTAATAATAAAAAATGCCAAACGGGCGTTATTTAAATGGAAATCCAATACGGAGTGGCAAAGTGAGGGGCCAAATAGACGCGGTGGCAACGAGAGTTGGCATCGAGCGCTGCCGATAACGCACCATTCGCAGAGATTGGCATATTGCCAAGCGTATAGGGATCTCTGCCAATCGACAGACAGACAATTAAACGACGACCAATTACGCGTTAAGATATTCTAGTTAACGTGCATGTATACATTAAACGAATCTAATGCTCATCCTGTGCATACTGGGAAACTGATGTTAAGTGATTACTTGCACGTGAAAGCACCTGCAACTGCAGATACTTTGTTCAAAATACCCTTTTTATAGGCCTTCCCTGATGGTGTTAAAGCATAGTCCAAGGCGAACCCCACTGCGTATGGGCAGACTACACATATTTTCGATTTTCTTTTGTTAATGTTTCGAAAATATACAGCTTTCCTCACAGTGTCGTTTTCACCGATGAGCACTGAGCTATCCCGGCTCGACAGGTGAGTTGTCAACGTTTATGAGAGCGCACCTTAGGTCACTTACCAGAAGAGACGCGATAATATAAATCCATCGACTTTAGTGTCTTTGTAATATGAATATAGTTAAATGATTAAAGTTCTATCAATTCCGGTTAGGAGCGGTTACTAATCGCGTTCCTGTTAACAAAATCAAAATCAAAATCAAAATCAAAATTCAAAATCAAAAATATATTTATTCACATAGACGCTTGCACGTTCTTATGGAATGTCAAAAATTTTACATAAAAATTAATACGTTCGTAAGTTACCACCGGTTCGGAAAGCAGTTTCTGTTGAGAAGAAACCGACTAGAAACTCAAGAGTTGCTCTTTTTTAAAACGATTAGTTTATAATATAATATAACAAGTATGTCATTTTAGCTTACGTGAGTATCAACAGTATTAACCCCACGCATTGGCGTCGTCAAGATATTACGCAATGGTATAATATGCCTTAGCCATAAGTTCACTTTTATTTTTGCGTTTAAATTCATCTAGTGGCAGACTTAATATCGACTGTGGGATTTTATTATACATCACACACTTTGCCCCATGAACGATCTATTTACTTTTTGTAGACGAAACAATGGCGTAATTAATTTGTCCTTATTTCTAGTATTTAATTTATGTCTGTCACTATTCTTTAGAAAACAATTAAGATTATGTCTAATATACAATATATTACAATAAATATATTGGGACGCAACAGTATAACAGTAAAATATCTCTGAGTGTATTCTGGACTCCGATGTTATAGATTGCTCGGACAGCTCTTTTTTGAAGAATAAATATAGCATTTATATCAGATGCACTACCCCACAACAAAATGCCGTACGATAAGATGTTGTGAAAATAACTAAAGTAAACAAGTCTGCCAGTGTCGATGTCTGTTAGCTGTCGCAAGAGATGATAGATGGGGACTCCACTGAAGCTTTGAATCTACTGTAATCCCCAAGAAAACTGCGGACTCAACAGGATTGAGGGATACGTTATTTAATAATAAACTAAAACTTTGCCTTCTCACACTAGGAAGAGTAAGAAGTAAAAATCACAATGCTCTACAAAATTGAATGTTCATTGGCAACTTTAACAGTATACTCGCAAGACGAACTGTATCACGAAAACGTCGGGCATTGAGTGCTTTTATGCGAATGCAGCAAAGCTCCGTCTCCTTTGAACCGAGTGACCTGCTTCTGAAAAGCACATTGTCCTGGCGGCCGTCGACTCCGGATGGCGTCTACAGCTGGAAAATGACTAGGGCATTATCCAGCTGTACTGCGCTTCGAATACAACAGATCTGTCTACTATTGAATGCAGTTTCATTCAACGGTATGAAAAGAGAATACACTGTATGTATAAAGACTTATGAAGTACGTTTTTTACATATACTATATTTTCATATTCATGTTGTAAAGTAGTATCGTATAGTATGAAATATTTATTTTTCCTTGTTTAGGTCTAGGTTGTGTAGGTAGTCCTACAGTTAAAAATGGTATTAAAACATTTTATTTTATTTTATCCACATTAATCGGTACTGGAATACCAATTAGTTAATGTTGACAAAATTTCAAACTGTCAAAAAGTTTATGAGATAAAGGTTGTAGGTTGGTAGGTACATGTCACATAATTTTTGTGTATATTACCGTATTTTATGTTGATTTCAAATATGCAGCAGGGATTTAAAGATAAACAATAACAAATTACATTATTTTTAGTTACCTCGCTTTCACGTTTTGTACCGATAAGCGCATTATATGCCTTAAATAGCTAATTCTATTTCAGTGAACTTTAAGACAGAATTTTCGCGAAGGTCGTCTGTGCAACGGCGATGTTAAAACAGCATTTTTAAGTACGTGTAAATGAGGTTAAAATCGGGCTTGCTACTCGCTGCTCCTGTTAAAAGAATCTCATACAAGAGTCGCAAACGATCGCAGGTACAACGAAACCATCTGGAAACTGTGTACGTTACGTTATCAATTAAAATGCGCCGTAGGGCGAGGCAATAAGGGCTGTGTCGGCGTGAGATTGTGAAAACTTGCGACGCTAGGCGTATAAAGGCGTGGAAATCTACCTGGGGCGTGAGAAAGGCACACTTTGCAAACAGTGCACATGCTAGGTACAGTGCAGTCGGCGTCAGTACACGGCTGCTAAAAGCGATCGTTTCAAAAGACTCTTTCATAATCTGCTACTAAAAGTAAGAAAGGCGTGACACCTTTTTTGCAGCCTGTTAAAATGTTGTGTTCTTTCAATTAATTTTCATGTGAGGAAGTGGCAAGAAATCTGGCCGTTCCTCAGCTGACGTTAAGTGCTAACCGCCGCCCAAAGACATTTGTAACACTCTTAGGATTGCAGATGCGACACAACATTTTAATTGCATTGAATTACTATTGGTTTTGAGGATTTTTTTTATAAATCGCATTTGAAAAACGAATGAAATAAGAATGTTATAAATGACAGAAAACTTAAACATAACTTTTAGCTTCAAATTTCAGTCAATACCACAGTATTTGAGGTAAATAATTACCTTAGTATTAAAATAAGTTTCTTGGAAAGTAAAAATATTAATAGAGTGTTGGCGCTGGCAACACTGTATACCGGATATGACGTTATCTACTCGAACCAAGGGACACAAGGTCGCATGGAGCAGCGGTCACTTGGATTTCGGCTGCGTTCCCGGACAGTGATACAACCACTAGTGCTACTTGTCGTTATAATAATTGTTAATATTCAAGTTCGGTAATAGTTAAAATATTAGAATCAAAGTAAAAACGTTAGAACACTTATAAGAGTTTAACGATCTGGAAAATTATTGCCAGCTTGGGCTGAGAAAATCAGAAACTCATGAAAAGCATTAATACTAGAAATAGTTCCGATTAATTATACTAATGTTGATGATATTTTATCGCATTTTATTTTATTTTTAAACTAGCCACTTAGCACGGCTCCTGTAATTATCAAAAGAAAAATACGATCGGTACCAAATTTAAAATTTTACCAAATCTATCCAGCCATTTCAGAGGGAAACGTATATGACATCCATCGATTTTTATATACTTTTAAATACCCAACATATACCATTCACTATACATCCATATGCAAAACCCTATTAAAACGTTCCTACTCGACATAACGCCCAATAGCCCATAACCAGACGGGCGTGGAACGACGAAATTCGATTGAGATAATTTCACGCCACACGCCACCGCACCCCAAATAAGCAATATCGTGCAAGAGGTCCCATTAGCGGGCGAATCGCGTTCGCCTCGCAATTCCACGGTGAAAAGCCGCTACGCGGCGCACGGTGTTTGCGACGTCTACGTAGACGGGTTCTACGAAAAGTGTAATATAACTACGCTCGCACAATTTAATGTCGATTTTTATAACTCAGGTGCACGAATATAATCTGGAAAAGCTACGGAATTTAGCAATTTCCTCTTCGTGTATACAATACATTCGGGAAATAAGTATACTTATATATATAAATACATTTTGACCAACAAATCTTTGTGTCAAATTATAAAGATTTGCATGAACAATATGCAATTATTAGAACTTATAAAAGAGGATATAAAGACCAGTTTTGAAATGAAGAAACATTTATTTAATAACATCGCCGGTTATCAACACTTTTTGTAGTGCTATTAATCTTTTGTATGCCTAAAGACATTACAATACAAACCGTGGTTATTTGTAATAGTTCATGTCAAAAAATAGTACATAATGTTCATTGTAACAAGGGTCCATTAACGCCATATAGTAAGAGTATAAGTATTTATTAATAAATAAAAGCAAAACACAAAGCATAACCGGAACTTCTTACGGAACCTTCATGTGCGAAAAATATTATGCTACTGAAATATGAACCTTTGACACAACATGCCAGCGATTTAGTCCGCGTGGATCACATAATCTTAACACATTCTCGCTGCATGTTTATTGCGTTAATTAATTTATTGTTTTTAATAATGTTTGAATTGCTTTTATATATACATACTGGAGACTTACCTGTATGATTTTCTACTTTTATTTTTAACCAGCTAGCACGCTGCGACATCGCATGGGTATTCAAATCTACGTTCTTCGTACGTGAATCTAGTTATGTGAAATTTTAGTTATATTTTTGACAACAGATTAGTTAATTTCTTCGGTCATCAGTGTTCCAGAGAGGGCGTTAGTGCGTTAAGTTTTAACTAGTACTAAACTATAAGCCAAAGCTCTCATATTCATTTATTCATTTTGAGGTGGTCAAATGGTCAACGTCGCTTGGTCGCGTTATACGCTGTAATAGTATACGTAATTTTAACTTATAAAAGTACTAGAGCGGAGGCAACTTGGTAGTTGATAGATCCACTTATTTTTCACCCACGGAAACGAAACTCTAACTCAGTCGCAATCCGGGCAATTTGCCCGTCCGCGGCGTCGAACCTAATCTCGCATTCATAGCGGGGAGACGGCGAAAATGTGAATCGTTTTAGACAGATCTCTGCGCAGACGTCATCTATTACGGGGAATATTTCCATCTGCGTCGACGTGTAACAAATTTACGGCTTGTTTTCGATATAAACTCGAAGCTTCGTTTGTCATGTGACTATATCACCTGACAATGTCTATCTTCTGACGAATTGTTAAATGGAATAGCGTAATAAACATCCCTGGCCACACGTGAAGAAACAACATCAGTTGCTACATGCTCGTATGAGCGACAGAGAACATTAAATTGTCCGAATATGTGGAATGGACAACTTACACCTCTGTTCCACTTTTTCAATGTTGGCACAGGTCTTACGCCTTTTTTAATGTTGGCAACGCATCAGCACCTCGGCGGTATTCACTTAACATCAGGTGAACCACCTGCTTCTTTGGCAACATTTCACATACACACACATCTCCTACACCCGAGGGTTTGTAGATGCGTTGATGCTCCGGCTACCTCACTCACCAGACGAAACGTGAAAGTATTTGTCATACTTCCACTTTAACACAAAAACATTGCCCTTACTTTACGATATCAATATCGTGTGTTGTAAGGACGTTTCACAAACATAAATTTCACGCGGACAAACACCCAGATGCGAAACAGCTATTTGTGTGTTACACAAAAAGTTGTCCCGTGTGGGTATCGAACCCAACCCTGACGCCGAAGACAATAACTTGACAACAGCGCCAAGGTCTCATCAGATAAGCACTAGGTAGCACTAAGTAAGTTTAAGATAAGCACAAAGCGGAGGTGCGACTGTGTCTCCCATATCATCGATGGACTGTCAATTAGATCTACAGCGCTGTAATTTATGCCCAAACAAGTCATCGATCGTGAATGTGCATGATGATTACCAAGTGGTCGAGTTCTGAACTTTAATAATAAATCATCAGTAGCATCATTTGACCCGTAGTAAGTTAACTGAACACGACCAGGCCTTCTCTACTTCAACGGTAACGATAAACAGTACACTGAACTCGACAAGAACACTCAGTATATAAGTCCTACCCTAACATACACCTCCATTGCAACACATATCTCAACGCTACTGAAGCATGAAAACTGCAATTAAGTTTCTGCCGCATACGGCAATACTCGAGTCCGACGCGTCATCCGAATTTCAACTCTATGTGGTAAGTCATAAGGGTTACAATTGCGCTGGAGATTTGTTCGTAGGAAGTATTTATTGTTATTAAAGTTCGCGACCGTTCCGGACAAACTTGTAACGAAGTTCATTCTAACCCGAACGCTTGAAAGGCTCGTTAGCTAACAGTGGAATTGGAATGGGAGCAACGAATGTAATGCAACTTTATCTGAATGCGGTCCGCAAGAAATCATTCTTCTACCTGAACGTAGGGTGGTGATATAAATAATAAGATCGTTGCTTTCGAATAATGTTGGAGAACAAATATAAAAATTGTGGTACTCACCTATTTAAGCAGGGACGTGTATAGAAGTGTATCTGGAAAAAGAAAATCGCATGTTAACTAGTACAATAATTATTACAATGGTGTGGCGTCACTTCTTGTATTTATGCGAATTTCACACACTTTTGTTTCATGTGAAAATGTGGCAAGAGACCTGGCAGTTCACCTAATGTTGAGAGGTAATTGCCACCCATGGACATTTGCAACACCCAGGTAGGGTTCCCGATGCGTTGCCACCTTATGATAAAGTGGGCTCCGGCCACCTCGCACACACAGGTCGTGGTACTTCATGCTAACTTTCACCCTACCGCATTTAAATAAGTGTTAAAGATCTCTCGTTAAAGTCGTTAAAGATCACATAATGTTTATATAATATAAAGAATTTGTCAGGGAACGAATCTAAGCCGAGCAACTAAAGTTAACATGAAGGAACACAGCAAAACGTGCGCTAATTTTATAAGTTTTTAATTATGTACTAGGCAGATTTAATTAATAAAATAATAATAAATTTATTGCCTCGTTTGTTGATTAACATTTGTGCTTCCAGTCCGTCGGACCATCATACAACACTTCATCGAACATAGACCGTGTAGATAGGCTAGGTTTCCACGACCTCATTAGGCCCTTCATAGGCAGAGTCACGCATATTGACATGCGTCCTTCAACAAAATGAGGGTTGCCGCGTACGGGGTGTCGAGGTCCGGAGCGCAGACGTAGGCGAATGTTATTCGTAGCGTGTAGCGTGTAGCCTGTGTATAGGTGTGTTGTTCTCGTCGTGATCGTAGATGATAACACACAACAGTGTGATGTAAGTTAACCCTACGTGTGTGTGTGTGTGTATTATTGTCATAGTGGCCTGTCATAGTAGGCCTCTTGTATAAGAATAGTAAGCTTGTATAATCACGCTTGTTAGGAATAGGTACACCCCTGTACATTATCGCTAACTATGGTCCCACCGAATATTTGTAACATCATATTTCAATATTGTTTCCAAGACGAAGTTTTGCTGACCACATGGGAATAGCGGCGGCCGTGGACTGGGGTCTGACGATAACTTGGTAACTTACGAACGTATTAATTTTTATGTAAAATTTTTGACATGTCATAAGAACGCGCAAGCGTCTATGTGAATAAATATATTTTTGATTTTGATTTTTTTGATACCTAAATTCACCGGAGACGCTTTCATCGGACTTTACTTCGTTTCCAACATCAAAAGGGTGTAGACTTAGCTTACCCCTAGTTAGATATTGTAATTATTATATTGTGATTCGTTTTTAATTAAAGTAAAAACATATATTTTTCGGTCCTTCGGGGACGAAGTCCACAATTCGCCAATAAACAAATAACCGCAATGTTTCAAACACATAGCATTACGATGTGTACGCTCGGATCAAAATGTAGTCTGCCCCATTGTAAGAACCATCAGGCCAGATTAGTAAGGGGTCCATTTGCAAACGGCGCAGGCTGCGCCGGGACCCATTGCGTTAATTGGATCGCGCTATTTGTTCGGACCTCGCGGTAGCTCTGGCTCGTCAGAATAGCTTCCCACTACGCTATATACATCATCCAACGCTCATCCTGCGGTGTAACATACAGTCAACAAATCACTTCAGCACAGAGATAATACGTACTTTAAGCTATTTTCAAACGACTTCAAAAGGAGGTTCTCAACTCGACTGTATTTTTTTATGTTTGTTGCCTCAGAACTTTCGACCTGGTGGACCGATTTTGATGCTTATTTTTTTATTTGAAAGCTGGTGCTTCCCATGTGGTCCCATTAAATAATACACAACAGGTAATATTAACTTCATTGGTATTAGATTTTGGACTCCGGAGATACTTAGGGAACTCCTCAAAATCAATTATAAAATGAATACAGAGTGAGTTGTTTTTCGTTAGTAAAAAATGTTTATTTAGTAACATTTGTGACATTATTTCGATCTGGTTCTACGCGGACTAACGTAAGATTGTCAGAAGTGTTTGTTGAGTATACTCGTATAACCTTGAAAATATCGCTCGGCCCTCCGAATAACAATGAAATTATATGGACACAAAAGAAAGATTTATAGTTCATGATATTTTAGTTCAAAATAAATAACATCAAAGTAAGAAAGACATCAAAGATTTTTTTATCTAATTTTAAATGCCAGCTTCGATATTCTTATCTCCTTTCTTGTTATAGCCAAAGGCTACAACTACTTCAAAGGCTGGAAGCCTTTGTAAATCTACTAGACAGTACATAAGATAGTTTAAGGTATCGAATTTCGATATAATATAATAAATAAAAATAAATATTTTAGGACACATTTTTTACACAACGTTCTCTAGTCCCATACTAAGCTTACGCTTGTACTATGGGTACTAGATAACTGATAAGCATACTTAAACATACTTTTCTTTTGTGAATTATTACATATTATATATAAACGCCCAACCATTGGAAAACACTACGTTGATCACTCAACTTTTTTCCAGTAGTGGGGATCGAACCCACACCTTTTGGCGTAGGAGGCAGGTACACTACCCACTACGCCGTTCAGGTACATTTTTAGTGTGTATAATTTTCGTGTGTTATTTAAATAACCGTTGACCAATGTCACCAAATTACTCTAAAGGCAACGTAGCAGGGCGACAGCTAAGTTTCCGGGCGCTCACTTTCGAGTTATAATTTAATACACTCGAGTAATCTATGTTCGAATCCCAGTGATTGAAAAATTGATGATGTAATTTTTACTTGCAATTTTAAATCCTTATCACGTATGCTCAGCGAAATAAAAAAACTTTCGAAATAATAAAAGAAAACGAAATTATTTAGAAGAAACAGTGGATAACGGCGTGTCTTCTGTACATAGGAGGCATTTCCCCAGCACTGAGACATGTATTGGCTGTCACTTTACAGTGTAACTGGAAGCATGAGTACTTTGGCAACCGAGTAAAAATCAGTTGGGTCATATGTTTTTTGTGCTTTTTAAAACATTGCCCTTACCGTAGGATAACATTAACCGTGTTGTAAGACTTTTTACAAACATAAATTTCACATAGACAAACACCCAGATCCGAAACAGCTATCCGTGGGTCACAAAAATAGCAGAAATAGAGACAATACCAACTCCAGCCACGCCAGTCCGGAGGCTCATGAGCGGCGAACTCCCCGAGCCGCCTCCAACCGCGAAATGGAGCTGCGCTCTCCCAATTTAGAGCCGAATTTAAGTGCACTCCCTTGTACGAGAGTTGCGTTCATAATTGGACGGCTGATGTACATTACGATTGCGAGTACTTTCGTCTGGATAAATACAGGCTGGAATGTATTGAATAACAAATTTTATATCTCTTCTGAATTCAAGAGTTCGTCCGAGTGGGACGGGACGGGACGATGCAATTAATTATTTTGCACAGAATTGCTTAATTTAGCTTTGCTTATTTTTTGTTTTTACGCGGATACTATACGTGATTGAATGAAACGATTTTAATCGCGTTTTCTTATATTTAATTACCGACGTTTCGATCACGGGATCAGTCATGAAGAAAAGAATAACGGAAAACTGGAAAGACAAAACAACAAAATTTAAACGCGATAAAATCCGTAAAATGGTTTTATTTAATCGAGTAATTATTTGAATAAAAAACAGTTATCTGTATTCGATAGCAAACGATATGTTCGGGCTGACTAGGCTTACAATACATGATAAATTTCATGGTCTAAGGACGCGAAAAGTAAGAAATATGAGAAAAGTGATGACAAAACCTACATTTGCCGTGAAAAGTATTAAAGAAAATTCAATTTTCAATCGGATAATAGTCAAAAATCCGTAATGTTACATTTCAGTGTAACAAGGATCCGAGGAAATTGATAAAAACGCTTGAACATTTTAAAAAAACGTTTCAAACCAAAAGCGTCGGCAGTTCAAATCGTAACGTTTTATAGAAACACTTTGTACGGCGGATAAAAATTTTATGTCACTGCAAATGTCGAATGTCGGGCGTTAAAAAGTAAATGTCCTACTTAACTTCATCTTGCAGTATTAACAGTAAAAGCGTTAGAGGAGAATGGTTAGCTGTGAACATTTAGAGTCTACTTAAGTTTTATATAAATTTTTATGTGATATTACAATTGTCTCAATACCGGGTAATTAAAAACAATTGCATGAAAGAAAAATTGCAAGAAATACTGGCATCGCGGTTTAGAAATCTATTAGTGTTTTGTATGTAATATTTTTTTTTATATGTAATATTTTTTTGGCAATATTTCATTGCCAATCGAGCAGATGGTTCACATGACGTTAAGTGAATACCGCCGCCCGTGGACATCTGCAAAACCTGAGACGCGTTGGTTCGATAAATTATTTTTTTCTGTGTCAGTGTGATGGAATAAATTCAGTCATTTAAAATTAAACTAAACTAAAAAATATGCTCGGCATCTTTCATAAAACACGTCACTTATAAGTTTTAAACAAAAAAAACTTTAAATAATCGAGAAAGAAGAGTCGACGATCATACAGAAACCGTCGTAATTGGTTGGGAAACTTGTAGCAGAGGTAGTACTCGGCAGTTATTTTGTATGCGGAGGCGCGGCGGTCGCACCGGAGGGCGCTTGATTTTATGTTGCATAATATTAAAACCCCTAAAATTTAAAACAGCCTCGTGCGGATAACAAGTGCAGGTTTATGCGAGGATGCACGCGTTAATATTCAATGTGGAGCGGTGTCGGGGTTAAATATGTGGGTGTTTGAGCGCGGCGTTCTATCGTTATAAAGGCCGGGGTTAATTGTAAGAGCATCCTTGAGGGCATACGCCATGCAGTCTCATGAACGACGAAGAAAATATCACAAATCTTACATAGGAATTTATTGTTTTCACACGAATATTATACTAATAAATTAAACTATTTTACCTGCATTTTAATTTGGCTTTTAATTTTCAGCGTTTGTCTTACGTTTTAAATCATATATTAACAATATTTACATATTGACGACCCAATTGGCGTGGGGAGTAGTGACCCTGCCTCCTGCGCCAGAGGGTGTGGGTTCGATCC